GAGCGCAGAGCTCAGATGTGGGCAGGGTGCATATGTGACCCACAAAAGGGGGGGATCTGATTAAGGCTGCCCCTTGTGAAGGGCCACATTGATGGGTGCGGTAGCTCAGTGGTAGAGCGTGGGATTGCAATTTTGTGGCAATTACCCCAAGGTCTCGGGTTCAATCCCCGATTGTGCCTTTTGTTTTGCACCGCGTTTCTTCAACAGCAAGTGCCCGCGCGCGGCCGACGCTTCGCGTCCGCCTCGCGCTCTCCGTGTTCTTCATTCTAAGCTGCGGGCGCTGACTTGCTATCGAGCTGTCCTCACTAGAGCGACCCTCCGGCGCTGATCAGAATCAACGCACGATGAAGCACAAAGTGCCCATGTAGCGCCTGCCGAATGTGAGCCTTGGGGACTGTACATCGCCCACGAGAATTCTGTCCGACCTTGCGCGCCGCCAACGGAATTTCACCGCTCCTCGAGTCGAGGACGTACTTTGCCGGCATCCTACGCACACAATGGCAGCCATGGGAGAGGGCAGCAGGGAGGGAGGGCCGTTGGATTGCGTAGAGATTACCAGTAGCATCGAGGCGCGAGTCAGGCTCGAGAATTTCCGGGAAGAAAAACGTGCTGCTCGCGCTCAACTTTAACTTTTGAACCCTTTCCGTCTTGACACGGAATGCGAGCGCGCGAATGTCTGTGCGCGCCGCCGCAACTCCACATGCGCGCATGCTCAGACAGCAGCAGGTCGACTCACGACTTGTGCTCGCAAGGGACGGATGGAAGGCATCGATGGCATGCGTCTCGATCTCCTTTGTGAACCTCGACCATACACCATCAGCAACTGTGCTGCGCAAATATTCACCGCTCAGCTACTCACCCACGACTTTTGCTCAACACAACACAAATCTGTTGCTTCCTCTTTCGAGCGGCTTTGTGCAGGAGAGGCAATGTGAGTGCCAGAGCCTGGTCCTGGTGCATAGAAGCAGCTGAGCTCGGCGCGCACATGCACGTCACGTTTGCGACACACACATACGCTCTCTCTCTCTCTCTCCATACGTGCCATGGTGATGCTCACGCACTGCCATCCTCACTCCTCAACGTCTTGTCGCATCGAAGTCAGGTGTGTGTATCAGCATCACACGCGCAGCAGTCCAGTCAAAGTCATGACTACGCTCTTTCTAGCCCAGCGCTCTCCCATGATCGAGCAATCGCTCGCTTGTTGGCGTGAGGCGCGCAGTGTTGGGGTCGCCTAGCTGCTCGAGAGGAGCGTCGAAGCGCATACACACGACCTGGAGAAGCGAGCGCATACACGGCACCAAACCAGCATGACGCCTGTCAGCACTAGTGACGGCGCTGGTGAGCAAAGTCAGGTCACCAGCGGCATGCAAGCGGCTCAAAACCCAATGAAAGTCAAGACGGAAGAAGCGGTTGGAGTGTCAAACTCGAGCAGAAGCCAGACGGTGGATGTGACGGAAGCTGCAGGCGTGGCAACGAGCCCATCTGGCAGTGTAAAGGGCAAGACGAGTGTGGCGAGGACAGCTGCCGAGGATGGAGCGAAATCAGCGCCCAAGAGCCAAGAAGAGCAGTCGCTTGGAGATGAAAAGGGTTCCGCACCAGCTGAGCCCAGTGCAAGCCCAAAGAATGCCATGCCGACCCTGCCTGCACCTGCTAAGCTAATGGCGTGCTCAAAGCCGGCAACGCTGCCTGCACTGACGACACCCGATCCAACTCCTGTGCGAGGTTGGATCGGCACCGTGTTTCACACAAGCAAGCTGAAGGAGCCGGGTCCCAAGTTGCTCTCTTTTCTACGCGATGCGTCTAGCGCGCCTCACGTCGCCGAGAATCGCACCTTGTGCTTCGAGATGAACATTTCGCCCGACGTGACCAACGAGGACCCCGTACGCCATGCCATCTACCGTCACTACTGGCAGCATTTGGAAAAGTGGAAACCTCAAAAAGCGCCTCATGTCACAATCTTGGGCATCCACTATGAGCGCACTGTGCACGTCAAATTTCACAGCTCCGCCCAGTATCAAGCGGCGCGTCAAGCTGGTAAGCCTTCTTTCGGAGGTCGAAAGTTCAAGAGAACCGCTGTTGGTCTCGACCTACCCGACGGACACTTTATGGTCAGGATTTCCGACTTTTACGATTCTCAAGGAGCTGACGATTGGACGGCCTTGACGCAGTCGCTGATCTCGCATCTCAAACAGGTGGTTGTCATTCATCAAATCTGGTGCGAGGTCGAGAGCATACCGGAGTGGAACATCCTTAAAAGACCTGCCGGCGTCATACTCCTGCTCGTCGAAGCGCGCCGCGCTATGGGCGAGTCTGCGATGAGCGACGCAGCTGCATCGGTCAAGAAGAAGGGTGCTTGGAAGTGGCGCTCCAAGTCTTACCCTCTGCACGTTCCGCACCCGATTCGACGTGGCGATAGGTGGTAGATGGTGACGTGCAAGAGGTGTAGGTCGGAGCTCGGAATGTCGACGCGCCTTTCGACATTGCGGCATCTGCCTAAACGAGTATGGAGCCAACGCTGGGATACGGTCGCTTTGCGCTGCACCCAACACCACCACGACAAGCGTGAACGCAGCCATCCACTTTTCCGCTTCTCTTGTGCGTGCATTGATCTCTGCATTTGTCACCTTTACAAGTCTTCCGCTTCGCCAAGTCCCAAAAGGCCACATTACAAGTTTTCCGCTCCGCCAAGATCTCAAAAGTCACACGAGCTTCGCTGCAGGCTTCAATCCAGTCGCGCTCCCTCCCTTTTTCTGTACCAGACTTGCTCGCACCGCTAGTGCGCCGCGACGTTGTGAGCCAGCTTCGGAATGAATACGACTACAGAACGCCAGCCGCAAGGTGATGCCGCTCATGCAACATCGCAGTTGTCGGCGAGTTTGATGACTCAAGGTGAGGAGGCATGTCCAGCCATTCAGCACAGACGACCTTGCGATGATGCTCGCCAAGATTGGACGACTGCAGTCGTAAAGAGGTGGTGCTGCCTCGGGCGCGCGCCGCCAGCGCAACCGTCGCCGGGCACGGCTCGGCTCTTTGCGATCACCTGTTTGTAATTTCACGTACAATTGCGAAGCTCACAACCTCGCCACACGCTGATACACTCACATCGCAGCAGTCGCATCCATCTCCGTACGCTTGGCGATCCAAAACACCAACTCGACTCGCAGGGGCAGCACTCAAGATCTGCTTCACGTCTCCGTCCCAGCCCAAAGCGCAGATCAAGAGCATATACGCGCACGAAGCGAGAAGCAGCGTCGTACGTTTCAACTCGCGCGGCGTCGCGCACCGCCGGCAAAGTGGCATCGCTGGTTCATGCCGCGCTTTCCGCTCACTCATCCTTCTCCTCGCATCCTCGCTCCATCTCCACGTCTCGAGCCGAAATCACGCAGTGCTCGTCCAATCCGTCACCGTATCCGCGCGCCTCCGCTACCGTCTTCGCAGGGCTCCGCAGGGTTATTCATTTCACAGCGCCATACGCCTGCATCCAAGAGTCAGAGGCCCACATTGCACGATGCGTAGCGCATACATGTACTTGATCATAAAGAGTACACCTTTCAAGCTGTTCGCCATCTGCATAATCGCCCTTGCGCCGCATCCGCCCCCGTGCAGCTTTGATCTCGGCGCCTCACTTGCTCTTGACCTTCTTAGCCTCGGCGATCGCCTTGGTCTGCTTGTCGCCCCAAAAGCCCTTGCCGATCGCCCGACGACGCTGCTTGATCATGTGCGTGTACATAATGTACAGACCTGCGGGGGCGCGCGCGCGTCGAGCTCGCAATCAGTGACGCTGGCCTGGCTGCTTGCAGCAACCTTGATGCGCTCCCGTGCACACTCACCTGGCCACCAGAGCGTCCAAAGACCCAAATAGACGTAAGCGCGCACATCCCAGCCCGCCGTGCTTTGCCAAAACCACTTCTTTGGAAGAGTAGCGAGCAGCAACTGAGCTTCCGATGCTGCACCGAGGGGATACAGGATGTAGAAGAAAGTGTACCTGCCGGACGTAGCGTCCGCGTGCGTGCGTGCGTGCACGCGTGTCAGCACATCGTCTACTCTTCTGACGACCAAGACCGCTCACCTGGCCCACAACAAGCCCGAACCCTCTTCAGGTCCACCGCCGCTCATCAGAGCGTTGGCGTAGAAAGGGTAGCGCACGCATTCGGTGATGCTCCAAGCGAGGACCATGCTAGCAAACCAAGGATTCGCAGCAGCTCCAGGGAACCTCTCCGCCACTCCCCAAACGAGCAACAATCTGCTAAACACTTGAATGGTGGTAGTCACCACTGGGCTCTTGACCAGGCCCAAAGCTGCATGCAGGATCTCCAAAAGGGCCAGCGACTGAGTGAATGCTAGCAGTCCCCCAAGAAAAGAGTGCAGAAGCGTAGACCTGTCCCACAGCTCCTTGAGCCTCTCGGGCAACCATAGAGGAAGAGTGGGATGCACGAATCCTCGAAGTGGTCGGAAACGCGCCAAAGCTTGTTCTGCCAATCGAGTAGGCAAGGTTCGGGTTTGAGGTCCGACGGCTAGATGCTTGATGGTGACGCTCAGCACCAAAGCCCAGAGGAAGAAGCTCAAGAGGTTGTAGAGGATCAAGTATCCTCGGAGTGCGGCCGAAGGCAAGCCTGCTGGTCGTCTGGCTTTGGACCTGGATTTGCTCACTGGCCCACTGTTTTCGCTCGTGGGCTTGACTACAGCGTTGGATTTCTTTTCCGCCATATTGACCAAAAAGGTGGATCGCAAAAACGCAAAAGGGAGCGCGCACTGGTGAGGCAAGTTCGATCGAGGCGAGAACCCGATATACGTGACGGTGGTGAGGAGGAGGAGGAGGTGCGGCTTGGCTGCGGGTTGGTTATATAGCGTCCATCACGCATTCATTCGCGCGACGAAACCTTCCCTCGCTGCCTGCTCGGCGCGATAGAAGAGGTGTTGCGCGCGCGAGCCCAGGCAGCCATGCAGCCTCCCCATGCCAACGGCCCATCCAGCACGCATGCATGCCTGGACGCTTTCATGCACGAAGGAGCCTCAGCACGCGCTCTCCGCATGCTCTGGGCGCGCGCGCAAAGCGCATAGCATCGTTGCCCGGCCCTCGATCGCTTTCTCGCCCGTCGCGTCGCCGCGGCCGCCGCTGCGACATTCCGATATGCTCTACAACCAAGCAAGCAAGCAAGCAAGCAAGCGCGTGCGTTCCATCGCGGACCGGAGAAGCACTCGCTCGGACTTTTGACTCCGACACAAACACCCACCTACGTACGCCCCTCGCTCCCATTCACACCCGCGTACCTACGCACACACACACACAGGTCTTGCGCACAAAATCGAGAGAGGGACGGCTTGAACATTTCTATGTAGGGATCGGGCTACGACGCCCGATCAGATGCGCAGGAGACAAGAAGAGGGCGCATCAGAAGAGCCGTGTAGAGAGCGAGAGCGAGAGTAGTCACGAATGTACAAGGTTGTTTTGGGGAAGCCGAGCAAGAGAGAGAAGAAGAGCATCTGGAAGCCCATCTTGCAGGCGTGGGCGAGTGTACTTTGGGGGAAAATCTGATGAATCTAGTGACGCGTTTCGATGGGACTTGGTTCGTGGGAAGAGAGTGAGAACGCGACGCGAGTTGGCGAAAAGCTCGAGACTGACAAATGCGTGCGGAGAACAGGGCTCCCTTTCGATGAGCTGTTCGGGACAGCCGAGACGAGGCTCTGCTGTAGAGAAAGAGGCGGCTCGCGCGCTCGCGCACCCGCTCAGTTCCAGCCTCCGTCATCCTGCTGAGCGTATCCACCAGCATGGCCAGATCCGTAATCTCCTTGAACGTCCATCGCACCACCCCCACCACCAGCACCGCCGCCACCGCCGCTCTCGAATCCACTACCTCCTGCCTCGTATCCGCCTTCGTTGCCGTATCCGTACTCGTCCTGGTTCGCATACCCATCGTCATACTCGTTTCCTATTCGCAGGGATCAAAAGAAAGGCAAGAGATCGAGGAAAGGAAACGAGCAAGAGGAGCGAGAGCGCGCGAAACGAACGAGAAACGAGATCGACGGTAACAAAGACGAAAAGTGGACGACGGGCAGGAAGAGGAGAAGCGGGAGCGGGAGCGGGAGCAGGAGCAGGAAGCGAGGCAAACGTTAGACTTCCCCGAGCTTTTGGGGTTGGCTTCTCACCAACGTCCTCCGCCCCCTCCGTATGCGTTCGCACCGCTGCCACCATAGCCGCCGCCGCCGCCGCGGCCACCACGTCCACCACCGTAGCCACGGCCACCGCCACGTCCGCCTCCACCTCCATAAGAGCTCATCTCCATGACTTCGGCTGAGGGCGGAAAAGAATCCCAAACGGTCAGCTTTCAATTTTTCCGCAGCCTACCGTTTGCGCAATACTCACGTGGAATCTCCTGCTTGGCTTCACGAAGAATGCCGACAAGCTCGCGTGCTGATTTGGCATCCCCAGTGGTGAAAAAGGTGATGGCAGTGCCCTTGGCGCCCGCACGTCCCGTACGACCAATCTGATGAATGTAATCCTCGGTGTTGGTGGGAAAGTCGTAGTTGAGAACGTATCCGATATCCTTGACATCTGTGAATAAGACGTAGACGACGGCGACGACGCAGCGTGTGCGACGAAAAGAGTGAGCAAATCTCGAGGGCGCAGGTCAACAACAAAGGTGGGTAAAAGGGGATGTTACATGAAGATGAGGGGCCTTGCCTTTGGAGTGGAGGTGGTAATCGAGCGGCTGCCACGAGTACGCAGCGTCAACCACCACCGCGCTAGAGCGTCTGGCTTGCCATGATGTGAATCAACGCAGGTCGTTCCCGCAAGCACGCCTCGTCTCTCCAATCGCCTGCTACGAGCCGGTGGGTATCATGCCCGACTCGTGACAGCCGCAGGAGCGAGAGCGATGGTGCAGAGAGAGAAGGAAAGACTTGATCTTTGACGCTATGCGTCAGGTTAGAAGGTACTAGGCGTAAACGAACGCACTGCAACGTCGCGCTTGTTCGCAACGAGCGCGACAGCAAGCAGGCACACCTCGCGTGGATGATCATACCCTGGAGTGTTGCTGTCTACGCCGTCTGTGCAGAGGAGATCTTTTTTTTTCTCTGAGAAGTCGCAGTGACGACGCCAATGACGGCGACGAGAGGCACGAGCTCTGTTCGTGGCACAGGACCACAAAGCGTCTCATCGCCGCCGCTAAAGATCTCACCTGTACGAGGCGCTGCGTGGGCACGCGCGCCTGCACCTTCCATCCACCTTCCGCAACCGCAAGACCAAGCGACCGCCACACCAAATGTAGAGCACCCAAAAGATTTGCCCGACAGGCGGCAAAGAAAAAGAAGAAGAAGCCAAGTCTCGCAACGCTACGTACCGAGACCACGACTTGCAACGGCTGTTGCGACCATGATGGGACTGCGACCGCTCTTGAATTCCGATAGAACCCAGTCGCGTTCTTGCTGTTGCTTGTCACCGTGAATCGCGAGTGCGGGCCATCCATCTTGACGAAGATACCTTGTGAGATCATCAGCGACGCGCTTCGTGCCAGTAAAGATAAGCACCTTGGCATTTTCTTGGCTGATAGTGTCGAGGTGCTTGATGAGACGTCCACGCTTCTCAAAGTCTGTGCAGACTTCAATGACCTGCTTGACGTTGTGGTTAGCAGCAAGACCAATGGAACCAATGTTGACTTGAACAAAGTTGTTCAAAAAGTCGTTGGCCAGACGCTGAACCTCCTTGGGCCATGTAGCGGAGAACATGCAAGTCTGCTTGTCGGGACGGATCTGGCTAAGGATCTTACGGATTTGAGGCTCGAAACCCATGTCCAGCATGCGATCGGCTTCGTCCATGACGAGGTAAGTGACGCGGCGAAGGTTGAGCTTGCCAGCCTCGAGCATGTCGATGAGACGACCGGGAGTGGCAATGACGATTTCCGCGCCGCGTTGAAGGTCGCGAATTTGAGGACCCTTGGGCACGCCACCGTACACTGCCGTGTTGCGGAGCCTTGAAGAGGCGCCAAAGCGGGTGCACTCTTGTTGAATCTGGACGGCCAGCTCACGGGTCGGTGCGAGAATCAGCGCAATTGGACCGTCACCGGGCGCCAAGAGAGGTTGTCTGGGGCGAGCAAAGGAAGGGGTAAGCTGAAAGACGGGCGGCTGCCAAGTCTCGCGACTACTTACGCGTTGATGTGAACCATGGCTGGCAAAGCGAAACCGATCGTCTTGCCCGATCCAGTCTCGGCGATGGCAACAATGTCACGACCAGAGAGCGCAATGGGCCAAGCTTGGGATTGAATGGCAGAAGGTTCGGTGAAGCCCATCTTTTGGATTTCAGACATGATGTAGTCTGGGAAACCAGCCTCGTCGAAAGTTTGCACGGGCTTGGGGACGTTGGATCCGGCAATGGTCATTTGCTTCTTCGCTCGGAAATCCTGCACCTCTCTGTCTGACCGAGCAGTCACGCGTCGGTCCTCGCTGTGGGCAGAGATGGATGAGTGGATGGCGCGTCAGCTTTCTACAATCGCACTTGGTCAAAGCGATCAGCTCGTCGCTCACGTGTAAAAGTTCTTTTCGAAACGGGTAAGGCTGGCAGAGTTCCAGTCGACGGTGCGAAGGCCGTTGCCGAGGCCACCCATGCGGTCGCCTCCACCACCGCCATAGCCTCCGCCACCTCCTCCGTAGCCTCCACCACCACCGCCGTACCCACCACCGCCCCCGCCGTAACCACCACCTCCGTTTCCATATCCGCCACCGCCACCGCCGTAGCCGCCACCGCCGTAGCCGCCTCCTCCACCGCCGTATCTGTAGAGGACGAAGCAAGAGAGGATGTGAGCATGTGCTTGCACGAAATGTGAGCGTATGATCCCCAACTGCTCGCGAGGATCACGAAGGCCATAAGGAAATGCATCGACCACGTGCGAGACGAGGCGGCCCAGTAGAGCACAATGGGAATAGTGCCGACTTGGTGGCCATGAGACGCAGGGCGACGCACGCATCCTGAATCTCCATGCAGTTGTACTCACCCGCCGCCGCCGTAACCACCGTAAGACATGCTGTCGAGGAGAGTGTCAAGAGTTTTGAAGTGGGTCTGAGTAGTGCGCGAGCACTGTATATGGCGTGTGAATGTGCCTGATGAGTTTGAATATGGGGGTGTGCACAAAAGCTGAGCTGAAGGGCACGATCGAGGGAAAAGAGGTTGATGATGTGGTGAAGAGGGTAGAGTGGTGGTAGAACAGGCGCTGGCACGCACGCTCGCTCGCTGCTCATGCTGATTGATTGGCCTGGCCTGGCCTTGCATGATTTACGATGGATATCGCTTTCGCTATTCTGCCCCTGCTGCGCGCGCCCGCGCCCACGCGTCTAAAAAAATTTGGGCAAATTTTTGACTTCCTCTTTCGCGCGCGGCGCTACAACGTGCGACGGGCGCGCGCGGATGCTCTTCGCGTGGATGCAACGCTGCAACTGCTGCAGCCATGACCGCTTCAATATGGATACAGTAGCAGCAGCCCTGGTTCAGCTCTGCAACAGCTGCTGTAGGCTGGAACTGAGCCGCGCTCAGCCGTGAGTGCTGTCGCGCGCGCTTCGATGCACGCGGCGCATTGCAGCACAACATGCATGCATGTGCTGCGACCGCGGTGCTGCTGCTGAGAACAGCAACGTGCACGGCGCCTCAGCAGTCACCAGTCATCCCGACGAGTCCCCTCATCAGCACACCCTGCATGCCTGCAAGCAAAATTTGAATGCATCAAGTCACGTGCAAAAGTTCTTCTCGTGCGATATACGAGCCGCGTGCTTCGAATCTGCGCTGGCGCGGGCTGTGCTTTGGCGGTGCACTCGTGACTTGCACATCCATAGCGTGATTTCGGTAGACGCAGCCACGGAGGAACGCAGGAGCTCATTGACGTGCAGCGAGCAGCGCTGCTCATATTCAAGATTGTGATTCACGATTCATAGCAAGGAGCCATCAAGACGAGAACTTGCCCGCAGGTGCCCAGGCACCCCTTTCCCCTTTCCCCACCACAAGCCGCGTGAGGCCAAAGGGCGGCAGTAACAGCGCATACAGTGCGGTGCCTCGAGCACATTCCAGATTCGACAAAGGGCGCACTGCGAGCCAGTTCGCCATGTCGTGCTGTGCCGGTCATGCGGCAGCTCAGTCGACCACTTCCTGGCTCCTCGACTTTTTCACCTCTTCGCCTTTGCTCGCTACAATCGTCCTTGGCCCCGTCATAGCTGCCATCTTGGCTGCTTATCCGCTGCTCATCTGGCTCAGCCCCCGTCCGCTTGAACCCACTCCCGACGAGCTGCGTTTTTATACTGCTGGAGACCTTCTAGGCCCGGCAGCCACGATCAAGGAGGAGAAGAAGGGATCGAACGGCGCATCAAATGCCACTCGCAAGCTGCCAAGGATCGAAGATGCACCGCAGTGCCAGCTCAGCGTCATCATCCCAGCGTACAACGAAAAGCACAGGTTGCCTTCCATGCTGGAGGAGACGCTTGCCTTTCTCAATCGGGACCAGGCTCTCTCGAGGCTGGACCACGCTCCTGGCAAGAACACGAGCCCCGCATGCGATGCGCTGCGAGAACCTCTTGCACGGGTAGAGATTATCGTCGTGGATGATGGCAGCTCGGATGGCACAGGCGATGTAGTGCTCGAGCATGCGCGCAACCACCAATCACGGTGGGGCAAGGTCGAGCTGCGGCTAATCAGGCTGAGCAGGAACCGGGGCAAAGGCGGAGCCGTTCGGCACGTGAGTGCATCAGAGCGACGTCGCATGCATATCGTCGTTCTCTCTCTCACAGGGCCTTGCTTCACTCCACCTGCTCTAGGGCATGCTACACGCGAGGGGAGCTTTGCTGCTCTTTGTGGACGCCGATGGAGCCACCAAATTCGAAGCGCTGTCGGCACTCGCGACAGAGCTGGACAGGATACGTACGCCTGCTGGTCATGGTATTGTGGCAGGGTCCAGAGCGCACCTGGTAGGCAGCGATCAAGTCGTCAAGGTGAGTTGCACGGCAACGTCTTGAGCTTTGCGACGTAGCTGATTTGGCGCGCTCTCTTCGCTCCATTCAGCGGTCCTTCGTTCGCAATCTTCTCATGCATACCTTTCACTTGGTGCTAAGCCTGCTAATGCGCCCGCCTGCTATCGGAAAGGTGCTCCAGCGTCACTTGCCGTCGTTTCTCGTCTCGCAGAACACACTCAAACGAACGACGTTACCTTCCCAGCCCGAGATTCGCGACACACAGTGCGGCTTCAAGCTATTCATGCGAGAATCAGCGAGGGTGGTCTTCCAGGGCTCTCACATCGAGAGGTGGATCTTTGATGTCGAGCTGCTACTTCGAGCCGAGTTGAGCAGTCAGACGGCCCATGTGCGTCTTGCTAATTGCGGCAGCAGTATGCGACAAGTACGGAAGGAAGCTGGATTTCCTCTGCCTCATTCGGGAAAAGGGAAGGTCGACACAGCGGCAGATGTGTTGCTCGATCTGCCATTGCCGATTGCCGAGGTGCCCGTACAATGGACAGAAGTTTCTGGATCGAAAATCGACCTGCTCAAAGATTCCATCGGTATGGCTTTGGATTTGGTCATCATTCGCGCTAATTACGCTCTCGACCGTTGGCCCAGTCCGAAGCCTGCCAAGGTCTGAGATGGCAGGTATCCTCCAAAAGCAATCACTGCACTATCCTTTGCCAAACACATCGCGGCCTTTCGTCCATCCATCGTGTCCAGCCTAGTCCGTCGTTCATTTCAACCTAGAAACAGCTCAAAGCTACGCCATCGCTATCGTCATTGCCATCGTCACCGTAGTCTGCGCAAAACTAATTTCATGCATGTCGCAAAAGCAGGTGCCCAAGCGAATCTTCTCAATCGCGCGTGCGGGCTCTTGCTGGTTCCTCTGCCCCTTTGAGTGGCTGATCGCAGCTCGCTGCGCAAGGGCTTGCGGAGATCGGTGCGCGCAGAGCATCCTCGATGGCGTTGCTCCGCAGCCAATGGCGTAGTGGCGGGCGGCGTCGGGAAGGGCGGAGCCGCGGCGACGCAATCGAGAGGGCTTGGTTTCATTCAGCTCAGAACATCTGTTCCTTGTCACTCCTCATCTTTGCTATCTCGACGGTACAAGCATGCCGACTAGCCTCGGCATCCTGATCAGGCTTCGCCACTCTGCGGGGGCATATGCTGCTCGTTAGGCGGACCAGAACTAGTGGCGGGAATATGTCTTCCTATAAAGACCGGCGAAACGACTTCTACGAGTCCAACATTCGGCCTTCAATTCACCCCCTCGATCTTATCGTTGCGCAGCTGGACTGTTGCCTTGAGCTTTGAAACGAAGCAGCTGGTCTGCGCCTTCCAACAGTCTTATCCTTTGTAACAGCAGCGACGCCGACATGCGTGCCGGTATCGGCATCGTGCTCGTCTGCCTGGCCACCTTGTCGGCTGCAACAAGTCACCCAGCCAACGATCCTCAGCAGTCGATGCTGAATAGGCGCGTGTATGGTAAGTTGGGTGTGCATCCCACCACGCTCGTCATGCAAGCTCACAAGTCTCTCGAGGCGACGTGTCACACGCAGGCGAAACCTCGTCGGCTGCCTACAATGCTGTCGTGAGTCAACTTGGCAGATCGAGTCAGCCCGGGTCTCTCAAAGCTTTGCCTCTGGTCCTACGCATGCTGACCGTGCTTGTCGACCGCGGCACAAGGCGCATGAAATGGGCAATCATCGTCTCGAAGCACATGCAGTCCATGACGTGCACGGCAATCCCTACTTCATTCAAGCGCAATCAAAGGAGCATGGATCGTTTCGCTTCGCGCGATGGACCCCACATGAAGACGTTACGGTCCACCTTCCTCCGCTCCGTCAGCAATACCTTGGTCACGGGCTAATTGTGAGTTGTTCTTGTCACGGCGCCCGACGTCTTGTTGAATTCGCCTCTCCACCCCTCCACCCACTGCCATGTAATTAGGCGGCTACGCAAAGGGCTCATCCTGCTTCCCACCACACTTTCATCAACAAGATGCCGCACGAAAACTTGGAACACAAGGTCTTGGACCAGCACAGGGTCAACTTGGAATCGGCGGCGGCTTTGATGACCAACCCGAATGCACACACTCACCAGCTTGGTGCGGCCGCCCATAGGCCAATCAATGTTGTCGAATCTCACCCAGCAAATCTCGCCGAGCCTCGACCCGACCAAATTTCCAGAATAGGCGCCTCCTCCTCCAATCCCGTACACTTGGACTCTCCAAAGCCAGCCTCCACTTCGAAGATGCCACCGTGGATGGTGAATGCTCTTAAAAATCCTGGTGGAAAGACGGGAGGAGCTAGCAGCTCTGGTACGTCCAAGCTGGCACCTTGGTTGCAAAAGGCAAAAGAAGAGCTGGCAGCAAAGGAGGCGGCAGAACAGGCAGCAGCAGCAGCAAAAAAAGCAGAGGAAAAGGCAACTGCCACAAGCTCCTCTTCAGCCAGCTCGACCGGAAAGAAGCGCTCTCGCACAAACTCGCCTGAGGATGCACCTGCCGCACAGCGCACGCGCACTTCTTCTCCGCCCACGGCTCAGGAACGCCGCGGATTGTCAGCGCAGCCGGAGCTACTGAAGCGAGTGAGTTTATAGAGATCATAGACGTCGCGTACTCGAGGCATCTTCGACTAATTTTTGACGAGACGCACCCAGACCGTCGAGCCTGTCGATCAGGATGAATACGCCGGCTCTTTTCTAGAAGCGCGCAGCAAATGGGACGTTGCTCGAAATTGGTTCAAGACTGATTTCAAAGAGCAGCCCATCACGGGTACGGCACCTCTGGGTGGTGCGGTGCGTCTCAAAGTGAGTTGCGCCAGCAGCACGTCTGGACCACCGATTCACGTCCCACCCAGAACTAGCCTTGCTCGATGCTGAGCCGCTCATCGGACCTTTCATCCAATCCAGGAAAATCAAAGGTGGGCCGTCCTGGTGCAGCACCCCAATTTGCAGGTGAAGCACGAGTGGGTGGGAGGCAAATACAGAAAATTCAATGGCCTTCCCTACCACGGAACGGGCGAAGAGACGGGTCATTCGATCAAGGAAGAAGTGAGTGTGTGGTATGGGCGCACACTTGTTTGTCAATGTGTATTTCATCGCATGCTTGCTTGCTGAGGCGTGATGCGATGCACCCATAATCTCGACGCCGCCAGTCAGCTAAAGCCCTCGCCGAAGGCAAAAAGGTCACGAAATTTCCCTACGACACGCAGAATCGTTACCCCCCTCTGCACCAAATGGCCTTTCAAGAAAAGATGGTGCTGCGCATCGCAAAAGCAAAGGCGACGGGCGGTAAAGTGAGCACAAAGCTGGACAGACCCAAGCCTGCGGGAGACTCCTGAAAGTGCTTTGCCTGCTGAAACTTCGGGCTCTGGCAAGTAGGCCGGGGGGGGGGGGGGGGGGGGGGGACGCCTGTTGAGCAATTCGTAAGGAGTGACACGAGAGGATGCTACTACTCTGGCCAAGTAGAGCAAATATGATGAAATCGTTGGAAATCAAAGACAAAGAAAAAGAGGCGCACGTCGCTTCTTGCCAAGGACAAGCCCATCGCGGGGAGTTCTTCAAAGTGAGGCTCACGGGCGAGCAAAGAGAAAAAGAGTGCCTGCGATTTCATCTCCTGTGTGACGTACCTATTCGGACGCAGGCTCTTACGAAGCCCCTCATCCCATGCCAAAGCAGATAGACCGACGTTGCAGTCCAAGTGTGCTCGGTGTCGTATGATTCGCGCTTGATTCAACACGACGTCAGTCAAAAGCTCGCGTCGACTTGGTGAGCTTGCACGTTCGAACGATATTATGTACATGAGCAGCGTGCAAAATAACGAGCGCGTTGGGTGCCCAAGCGTCGAATGCTCGGTCGAGCTCAAGCAGCCGTCAAGCCGCAGATCGACAGCTCTCGCATCTCCTGCAACACTCCCTCGACCTGTGCACGCCGCAAAACGTCGCGGGCGATGCTTGTCTCAGCTTTCTGAGCTGGCAAGGGTACGCGCGCACAATCGACTCACCTGGGCATCCAATTGTCCCTCTGCATACTCTTCCCGCACACCTTCAGCAAAGTAGCGCTGAACACCTCCCAGCTTCTCGTAACCCTCTTCTGCAAATTTGGCTTGCATCCTCACCATCGCCTCGAAAGAAGGGTCCAGATAAGGGATGCGCAGCTCCAGGAGCTGAGGAAGCTCCGTCATCAATTGGTCATTGAGCGATTCGAACAGAATCTTTGCCTCTTCCAGCTCCTTTTCCGCTCTGTTTGCGAGATGTAGAAGCGAGCGGTGAGCATTGCGAGGCCTCAAAATCGATAAGCATGCACGCCAGGCCTACTCGCCTCGGCAGCCTGGTAGGATCGTCGGAAGGCTTCTCTAGCAGCTTGCGGTGCCTGGTACGAGCAGAGTCGTAGTCCAAGAGCTGGGGCAGACGACGCGGCGAGCAGCGAGATGAGGATCGCGCGGCTTCAAAAGTACACAGCATGCGCTACCGTGCATTGACGAGCAAAGGCATCACATGCCCCACCACCATCTCCCAGCTGACCAACTCACCTTTTTGTTCCTCTTTTCAATCGTCCTGTTGATTTCTGGGAAAAAGCTAGCCAGCTTTCCTACCGGTTCCAGCACCGTAGCTCTGTAAGGCGCATCTAGCTCCCTCGCAGTCTTTGCGTCCAGCTCGTCCGTAGACCTCTTGTAGGCGTTGGCTGCCATTGCTGCGTCGCTATGATCGATGAAAAACTCATCCACTGTTTCGGCTACGCGTGATTGCGAAGCTGCTAGCACTGCGAGGGAGGCGAGAAGAGGATGCGAGAGAGGAGATACGCAGTGGTGTGAGCGAGAGTTCAAGCCTGCATTCAGCACGCCGCCTTCTCTACAAGCCTTGCGCGCCTCCCACCCCCGAAACTCACACCTGATAGCATCCAAATAACCTTTTGCTTCCTTTTGCAAAGCCAGCACCTCCTTCTCCAAAGCTCTGTACCTCGCTTCCTCATCCGCAAACTCCGAATCCACCGTACGATCCACCTGACCCGTCTTTTGCATCACCGTCGTCCCTGCGCGGCTAAGAGATTTCTTGAATCCATTCCAGGACATTGTGATGGATTGCACGGGTGGGGGATGGGGGGGATGTCAAAGTGCGTGGTGCTTGCTGATTGGGAACCAAGGCGTCGACTTTGGCGGTCGCGAGGGATTGTTGAGGAAAAGGGCGCAAGAAGCAGACGCCTTTGGACCTGCGCGATGGGTGATGGGCGATGGGCGATGGGTGATGGTGGAGGATATTTCGACGGAGGTACGTTTGGGCGGTCCGTATAGACGCGCGCGTCACCGCGAGTGCGCCGACTTACCGATGCGTGGCGTGCGGTGTCCATGCAGGTGGAGCGACCGAGGTAGCGCTGCTCTGGTGGCTGACGCTGGGTGCTGTGTTGCTGCTGTGCTGATTGTGCGCTTGCTGCACAACTCACCACTCGTGACTGCATGGGCTTGCGCGCGCATCATGTGGGCACGCAGGCTCTCGGCCGAGATGCTCCGCGCGCCTGTGAGCGTGGCTGTGCGTGTTTCATGTGCGCGGCGGGAGGCGCCATTCGTGACTGTCTTGGCGCGCCATCGAGTTTTGGTGGTGAGTCGTGAGTGGTGGTAAAGTCAGGATGGGCAGAGTCGTGATTCGTGAATACATGTCGGCAATCACGAGGGTGGATCAGCTCAGACAGAAGCAGCATGTGGTCGCGCTCGCTCACACCTGTGGTCACAGTCAAGTCAGAAGAGGCTTCGAGATGGATGGATGGATGGATGGATGGATGGATGGATGGATGGATGGATGGATGGATGAATGGATCGCTCGGACTACCGCCGCGTCGAGTGGATCCCGCGGTAAATGGCAAGTCACGATTGTGTGGACAAGGCGTCCATATCGGCCAGACTAGAGACATACGCAGATACTTTCAAGGGATGTGATGGGAGCTAGCTGGTATGGCAGGCCAGCGGGCTACCGGCAATCAAGACAAGAGCCATCGAGCGGCTTCATGGCGATTCTCCAACGCGTGGCTCAGATCTAGGTCATGAGCCGCAAGCGGAGTTGGGCTCGCTCGCTCGTCGCAGAGCGTAGAAGCACTGCTCAAACGCACCCGCACGGTTCGATCAGCCTGACAATTGCGGACGCGGATGGTTAGCCAGATCCATCGCTGCGCGACCACTACTACAAAGCAGTGCCATGCCAGTCATTTGCGTGATTGCATCAAGTCATGATTCGCGCACGTCTTGCAGCGCGTGTATGCTTCACAATACACCACGACATGGCCAACATCCGCCCAAAGCAGCCACGCGGGTGGTATGCTGCGGTGCGAGGCGGCCCGGTGCACGCCTCATCCTGCCCGACACGCATCTCGTCTTTACTCAAGGTGGTGCTCATATAGCTTCTCGTCCCGAGGCAGCTGCCCGCCGCGCTTCTCGGTCAGCTCTCTCGACATCCATAAGCATCCGCTCCACTCTGGTCCGAGGTAGAGCCAAGGTCGAATACGACCGAGGGCGCGCTTGTTCGATGTTGCGTAGCTCGATGATGGAGGCACGACCCCTGGCCCAGGTGAGCGGATGCTCGCTCTCGTCGCTGATGCCCCTACAAAACCATTCTCACGCGTCAACTGCGGCGCTCTGAAAGACATGCCAAACGCTGGCGTGAGCAAGCCGCGCTCTGATTAGGGCTCCACCAGTCTTCAGTGTTGTCATCACGTGAATCATGCAGTCTTGTCGACTTTAGCGAGCAGCAAAAGACCTCTATGGACTACGTCGGACCGGCTAATTCTCCCTTGAACTCGCCCAAGCAATCATCGTCATCTGATGGTCGATGGTCCATGCACTACCCACCCCTCGAGAAGGGCAATTTCATCTCCCTTCTCAACGGTCTCATGATTGCGAGCACGCCCAGGCAACGCTTCGCCAAACGCCACACGCAAGTGGGCGTGGTTCGCGTGCCTGTCGTCTCTTATTGTCGCTATCTCTTACCGCTTCCACAATGGAGCGGAAAAGAAGAAACGGTGCGACGTTGACTGGTGCGGGCCGACCGTCCGAAGTACGCAAGGTCAAGGGGATAACGTGAGAGAGAGAAGAGACGCTCAAGGTTTTCATCTATTCAGCCCGTGCGTGTCAGAATGCAACCATTTGTCTGCTTATTAAGCGAGCAGACAAAGGCAGGGCAGGCGACGACAGCGACACCGAGGGGGAGCTCATGCGGCTATATAGCTATTTCTCGATCGAGAGCACGCAGCGACAATTTATGGAAAACATCAACAGTCTGCGCTGCTCGGCTGCACCGGATTGTGGTACAAAAGCAAAGTCTGCGTCCGGGCGTCCGCGTTCTCCTTCGCCGCCTCAACCAAAACCAAAGACAACAGGGGGGCGGAAAAGTAGGAAGGCAACCTGAAAGCGGTGCTATGATAGGTGTGTCTGATTGCCAACGATGGCTATTGTCTTGCTTTTGAAAGCGTCTATTTGGATGACATTCGCGAGGCGCATTCACGACTTTTCATTTCCCGTCCCTCCGCCTCTTGCCATCGAACGATCGATAAGAGCGCTGGCTGTCTGCTTGCTCACTATTCGCACGTCATCGCGAGAGCGAAGCGATTCTGTTGGTGTGCCTTTCTGCTCGACGCATTCTTGGGCGCGTCTTTGACATCGAGAGATCGCACACGATCCGCCGAGCAACTCGCACACGTCGATGGCCACATACATGCATCCACCGCGACTCTCGAAGAAGACATACCTGCGATGGACACATCAACGCCCCACTCTCTCGCGCCCGAGCTCGAGACTCGCAACAGGCACAAGCTGCACGACAGGATATCCAGATGGATCAAGCGAAAAGCAGAGGTGAGGCTTTCGAGAGGAGTTCCGGGAGCACATCGATCTCACTGAAGCGGTATTGATTGCTTATCATTCCATATATTGCTGCTTCGCGCCCGCCGCATCATAGCAGGAAGAGCTTTCGACGGAAGTGTGCAGTTCCACTCTATCTCCATCCCGAACAGTGCGTGGAGGTCGCTTGCTGCCCTTTGCGAATGTCACGAGTGCTCAACAAAACGTCGGCCGCGTATTTTGTTTTTTTCTCAGTTGCCTCGACACAGCCGGAGCCATACGTCTAATGTCGAGGAGCCCTTCGCTATTATCGGGCGTCAGTCAGAGTTATTATCACCGTGTGGCTCTCCACTCCACAGTCTCAAGGCGAACCCAATTCGACAGGCAGAGATCCTTGCATCATCTCAGTCTCTGGTTGCTGCCAAATCTTCAAGCGGATCAACTCGTAGCAACTTCCGGGCGCGCTCAACACCTGCAGACGCTATTATGTCCTCTTGGCCTCTGATGGCGGCGCGTCGGTCAAGTTCCTTTGATTGCGACGACGTGAGTCAAATTGACCCAAGACGCTCTGAAGCGCGTGCTTCCAAGGTCGTAACGTCATTGCAAGCTGCGCTGGAGCCGCAACAACCCGTAGACATGACCTCTGTGCGCACTTTCGATCAAGGTCAGCATCCATCCATACCTTCGAGGCGCGCACCTGAGCGCTCCCACGCGCGCAGCGGAGCAACAGATTACAGCAACAGCAACAGCAGCGGCAGATCTCCCTTGCTCGATTGTTTGCTGCAGGGTATAAGCAGGCAGAACAGGCCTTTCATGTCCAGCGTGGAAAGCTTGAGCAGGCAGGGTGCGGACGGCGAGAGCCACGCAGACTCGTCCAGTGAGCTGTCCGTCATGCAAGGTGGCTTCTCTGCTCGCTTCGTCAGGATGGAGCGAGAGGCTGCCAGGCGACCTCCGAAAAGCGAGATGGTCGACGAGCACGTTCAATGGCGTTCGCGGGAATCGACGCGAGGCTCGAGCACGGAAGAAAGATGCTCGATCGCTCATCGAAGCGTGCGCCCTGCGCGAGACCTACCACCTGCCCCTTTGGAACGTGCAAGATGCGCATCGAGCTCGCTCGATGAGCCGATCGCCTCTGCAGTACAATGTCAGGCCGCAAGTAGCTTTCATCGCAGAAAGCGCATTGCTTGCCACGCCACAAGTCAGCAACGTTCGAGCGCAGCACCCATCGTGCCCCAACAGACTTCTCCAAACACGACTTTGCGCGCTTCTACCAGCTCGTGGGAACCTCGCAGCTTGCACATACCTCCGCGCATTTCCAGCGCTTCGGATCATGCACATGTCCGGCACGTTTCCGCTAGTCTTGAATGGCCCAGACATGGTCTTGCAGGGAGCAGAGCGGCAGGGTCGTCGACTGCTGCTTGCGGATCGTCCAAGAACCATGATGCGCCACAAAGTCGCCAAAGACCCTCCACATCGTGTGGTGCCGAGCAGGCAGACATGGGCGATCAGGCAAATTCGAGAGTGAGAGGATTGCGGCGACTCAAGTCCAAGGCTTCCAAGCTAGAGCTTTGGAGTGGTCGGCCCTCCACTTCTGCCAGCGCAACTCGTCCGCTGAGCAGCGCTGAGCGAGCAAAAAGCGTAGATGAGGCGGCGAGCACTGCTCTCACTGCCTTGTCCTATCTCGGCATGACGCCCGCTTGTCCTACCGAGCGAGCATCCTTTAGCATCTCTCATCGACGATCCAGGCCGTCGTCGTGCGACGACTCTGCGACGCGCTCGGCCTGCAAGAGTCGCACGAACAGCACGCTGCTCAGTGCCACGTCTTCGCGAACCACGCATCACACGCTGCGCACCTTTACCCCGCTTTCCGAAATTAGCAATCCTGAACAAGCGTGTCGAGCATCGGATGCTCTGCGAGCCGATCAGAGAGCGTCGATGGGCACGGATTCGCGCAACAGCGTCGGCTCGTGCAGTGCCAGTCTAGAGGGGCGAGGGGGTGGAGGAGGAGGGTCTTGCTCTGAGCAGAGTCGCAGCAAGTCTAGCCTTTCCCTAGCTGGAGGAGCGCAGTGGCTCAAGAGCAAGACGAGATTCGCCAGCACGCCAACTTGGGAATTCTGTGCGGATGCAGACGACGACGCTTCTGCTTCTGCTTCTGCTTCTGCCTCCGCTTCCAACTCCAACTCCAACGCCTCCTCCTCCTTGGCGCTGCCTTTCGGCGGCAGTCAGCCTGATCCGATGGGCATGAGCATGGGCATGGGCATGGGCAGCAGGGCGCGCAACGTTGTCCCGTCCGCTGCACCGTTCGGAGCTGGCTTTGGCGGAAGCTTGGCCTTCACCGCTCTGTCCCAAGCTTCAAACACGCTCAATCATCTCGCAACATCGGCCGCGCTCGGCAAAAAGAGGCGCAGCAGCACCAGCACCAGTCCTCATCCTGCCACCACCCTCGTCTCCTCCTCCTCCAACGCCATGCAGCACAAGAATTTGGACCAGGCGAGCAAGATCTTGCACGCCAAGAGCGAAAGAGGACCGGACTCGGATGATCTGAGGGAGCACTTGAAGCGATTGCCGGTCATGAACCAAGCTCAAAGAATCGCTCTGCTCTCAAGAGGTCCTCGAAACGTTCCGTGGGATGCTCTTTGAACTCGAGGCCCCGGGGGGCTTACAGAGCAGGCTCGCCGCCCCCCCCCCCCCCCCCCAAGTCTCGCTACCTGTGCACGCCTCGCCTGTTTATGGTGCCTCCCACTTGTACAATACCCCAAATTCGCTCGCTGTCCGTCATGTACGCGCACCAAAGTATACATTTTCGTCGCATCACAGGGACGCGCTTGCCCCCCTCCCTCCGCATGCTCTGATATCTCAATGCGCCTCGCGCTTCCTCGGTGTCGCCCTGAGCACGTCGTCAACACGAAGAATCAGCTCGGCAGCCTCGGCCGCGCTGTTGACCACCGCTCTCTTGAGCTTGTAGCTTTCCGTTACGCCCAGATCGATCATGCTAGCAACTTTGCCGGCATTCAAATCGAGACCGGCAGAGGAGTCGCCCCCCTGATGAGCGGCTCGTAGACGCGCGACGAGATCGGATGAATCCAGACCCGCATTGTTTGCGAGGATCGTTGGCAGCTACGAACGCGAGCGTGAGCGCCGTGGGGGTCGCGGTATTTAGCAAAAAGGGACAAACATCGTGACATCATGACGCGGCCGTCACTTACCTGCCTGAGAGCATGTCCAAAGGCTTCGGCAGCAATGGCCTTCTTTCCAGGAGTCTTTCTAGCTTCCTCATCCACCTCTTTGCTCATGGCCATCTCAGCGCAACCTCCTCCCAAAGTCACCCGCGTCTCCTTGACCGTTTGAGAGAGTACGCTGAGAGCATCGTGCAGCGATCTTTCGGCCTCGTCCACCATTTGAGTAGTCGCACCTCTCAGCACCACTGTGCAAGCCTCTCCCGCAGCAACCCCAGAGAACTTGATGAGCTGATGGAGGGGCAAAGAGGGAGCGTGAGTGAGCGTCCTTGGCCGCAACTGCAGCTTGCATCACAGGGGCGGCTCACCCTGTCCTCGCCAATGATGATCTCCTCGATGGTATCGCAAGCACCGAGCTTGACCAAGTCCGGCCTGTCGAACGTGCTAGCAATCTCGCCTCCAGTGACCAAAGCCAGCCTTTCGACTCCTTCAAAGTCGGCATGCTCGATGCTCATGATGCCCGCCTCTGCCAGAATGCTCTCGGGGTAATTGTAGATCAACTGCCTGTTGATGAAGCAGTTGATGCCGTGCGCCTTGATGCGGTCCACTTTTGCCTTCATCTTTTCCCTCTCTGCTCTCTCCAGCTCCGCCAATTGGCCGGTTCCCTGAACCTTGACTCGAGCTCCGAAAACTTTGATCTTGTCCGTGTCCATCGAGGTGTTGGCGATGAGGATCCTTGCCCCTTCCAGACGCTTGGGGCAGTTGGTGCCGATGCGCTTGTCGAGAATGAATCCTTCGTCCAGGTAGCTATCCTCCAACTTGCCGCCGACCTTTTTGATGATTTGTATATTCTCCAAATTTGTCGAGCCTTTTAGCCTGAGCACGGCGTCCACTGCCAGATTGGCAAAGTAGTCCTTGTCGGCAGACAGCACCTTGGAGGAGAGCGTTGTTTTGGCAATGTTGAAGAGATCCTGTCGAAATGCTTCGGGCACCTTTCTAAAGGTCGAGACGCGGAGCCAAACCTCGATTTCAGTCACGGCAATGCAGCCCCTTTCACCACGCCAAACTCACCCATTGTCCTTTGCAGATGCGTCCAGGGCTCTCAATGCGGCTGCGGTAGCGATGCGATATCCCTCTACGATGGTCTGAGGATGTATGCGCATCTCGATCAACTTTTCCGCCTCTCTGAGCAGTTCAGCAGCAAGCACGCAGACCGACGTCGTTCCATCTCCAACCTCGTCATCCTGCACCTTGGAAATGTTGACGAGGATTTTGGCAGCTGGATTGTCTAGGTGGATGGATTTCAGAATCGTGGCTCCATCATTGGTGACTACGATGTCGTTGGATCCTACGCTCTGAAGGATCTTGTTCATGCCTTTGGGACCCAGCGTGGTCTTGACCAAGTCTCCCAGGGCCAGCGCACCGACAAAGGAAGATAAACGAGCATTCTCTGCCCGCTCTTGCGTCGCCTATCGATCAGCGCCGGGGGCAAGGTTTCAGCAAGGGGAGAGTCGGGATCGGGGTCTAGCGGGAATGTGCGCATGGCTCGCACTCACCTCTTGCGCAAAGATTGGCGCCGACATTGTGCAGACGTTGGTTGCTCAGCAGTGTCTGCTATGGTCGTCAAACTACGTATAACCCGTCAAGACCCTGTGATTGCAGAGCGACAGTGAGGATGAAGAGGACCTGCGCTAGTTGCGAATGCGAGTGCGCGTGCGAGTGCGTGCCACGGCAAGGTGAGCATCTGTTGCGAACACTGCAGAACGGCGCGAAAAATCACGAATCATCACGAATATCTGTAATTCACATTCACATTCACATTCTGTTGCAATCAAGCCAGCCAGCCAGCCAGCCTAGCCATCCTGAACGCGTATACCCTACAGCGCGCCACGCAATCCGTGAAGCGTGGGCGAAGCGCAGATCGCTTATGCGTCCCGCTCACTCTTCACGTGACGTCCTCTGACCCATGACTCAAACATTCACGATTCTTGATTCTCACGCACGTCCCACGTCCCACGTCCCACGTCCCACCGCGCGGGCCACCGCACCGATTGTTCTGATTCACGCTGCGATGCGCTGTCGCGTATCGAGCAGGGTTAGTCTGGGCAACCTCGGTCAAGATCTCTCATGATGTCTCCTGCAAGAATTGAATGCTGCCCGAGCTCCTTCTCGGACTTTTGTTCCCGCCCACCTTTTGCGCGGGGAAGGGGGGACATCGCAAACTCGCGGTGTGCAATTTTTTCTGCGTCGCTGGTTGAAAGCCCAACAAGTACGACGCATCGTGAATGTGAATCAGGCAGATTTGCTTCGCTGTTGGGGGGGAGGGGGAACTCGTGGGCAGCACAGGCATTACCTCCACGCTCGTGCTGAGATGGCGCGCCTCATACAGTGTGGCGTCCATTCCGTCTTGAGTCTCTATGCACAGAGGCACAGCGACTCACCTCCGCACGACATCTCACACCTCTGGGGTCCAAATTTCGCAGGCTCACCATACGAGGCTGGGGTCCCGAGCGGCATTCTTGCGAGACTCGAGACTCCCAATGTGGTGAAATCGTGGTGCGCTAATAATGACTGCCCAAAGTCAAGATGATAGGCTGCGAAATGAACTGTCCGTGTGGTGTGCGCTTACCCATCCGCACGTCACGGCCCGCCGAGGCAGGCAATCATCCGGGCCGATGCTGTAACCGTCGAGCCGGCTAGCTGGCCATCTCGACCAACCGTCTCTCGAGGTCAAATGGGCTTCGTCCAGCTCCTTCACATTCAAGAACCAGCCAGCCTGCCTGCCTGCCTCATCCCTCCCTCTCCACGCCTTGCCTCCCGCAACCCACCTGCGCAGTCTTGTCAAAGCCGAACGAAGAAAACGGGGAGCGTGAGCGCGGTACGCCCGGATTGTGAATGCTTTGGAAACAGCATGGTCCATCCAGCTTGGACGCAGACGCAGGATGGGCAGAGCTACGGCGCGATTGCGAGCGAAAGACCGACGCGAGCAGAGGTGCAAATGTGCTACAAGCTGCTTTGGGCCAACTTCATCTCCACCCTCATCCACTACTCGCACAATTTCTTCAAGGCTGGTGAGTCAAGTCCCCATCGAGAGGGGAGCCCCAGAAATGAGAGCCTCTGTTGGTGCATGCTGCTGATCTATCTGCTCGATCACCTCCGCATTCATTCCTCCCTCCCCTCCAGAGCTCTATCCTCCAGTCTTTCCGTTCGTCTCTGCCTTTGCCTACAGACTTGGCATCATCATCTTTTGGCCTCCCTTGACGCTGGGCGCGTACTACGGCTGGCTCAAGTTCGAGCAAGGACGCATACACGAAGCTCTACCTTATATCGTCGGACACGCTTTGCTGGGCGCCACCACGCCTGGCCACCTGTTCGGAGGCGTCGTGAGTTGGCTCGCTTGCGGCTGCTAGCTGCTTGCCCCGTAGCAGCAGCAGCAAGCAAAATTCCCGCGTTGCATATTTCTCCCCCCACAGTACGCCCAAACTCGTGCTGACAGCAGGCATTTCCCAGGCATTTC